TACATAGAGAGACCCTGTCTCAAAAAAAAAAAAATTAAAATTAAAAAGAAAAAAAAGATCATTGGTTCTTTTTGACAGGCGTCTGTCAGTCTGTCTGCCTTTTGGTCATTTCTCAGTCTGCCTTGAGTACCTCTAGTCCTGCAAGGTGGTTGTGTCTGGAGAGGGTTCTTCAGGACTCTCTGAGTCCATGCTGCCTAAGGTTCCTGTATTATTGAGAGTTCCTAGGCTACCAGGTGTTTGTGTTAGGAAATTTTAGAAAGAATTTTAATGGAAAAAACAGAGCAATAGGAAAAAGTTGTATTCATCTAGGAAGTCAAGAGCTGCTGTAAAAAGGACAGAATGGAGGTTTGGAAGTCTCCATAAGACAAGATAGGATCAATGTAGGAGACAGGGAGACATGCCCCGTGGGTACTAGTTGCCTGGTGCTCTTTCTGGGATCCCCAGAGAAGGATCATCACTGTTTGTTTCCTGTGAGAGTCTATGGTTGAACATGGAGTCTAGTTCCAGAATGTCCAAGCATTCTACTTAGAGGAGTTCTGAGTAAGGGTAAGAAATACAAGAGTGAACGGATAACAGGAAGCGTTGTCCTAGTGTGCCCTGTGAGGCTTGCTTTTCTCCTTTTGTTATTTTCTTTAGTGTCTCTGGTCCTGGTAGAGAGCCACTGTTGCACAGGCTTATCCACTGAGCCGTACTGCCACCATCTCCATGAGTTCAGCTGTGCCTCACAGCTGGACTTGGTGACTGCCAAGTGTCCTGTATAGAAGGAGGGGTAGGGAGAATTAGTCTCTTGCCACTCTTCCCAACAAGGTGTATGCAATTCTACCTTAATTGCACGTGGCATCAGAGAAGGATAAGAAGTATATATAGACTAGAAAGGACTTAGGGAGAGGAACTCCTTCTAGGCGGCCATAGAAGAGTTTTCATGCCCACTGAGTGCAGACCTCTCAGTGTGGCTGCTTTAAAGCCACCCAGACTCCTGCCCACAACCCCTCACAAAAGCTAATAAAAACTCTTTGGTTCCTCAATAAACATTGGCATGTTGGTGGAATTGTACCGTATTAGTTTGTCAGTGAGGTCTTTGGCAGAGTGGTAGACATTGTTTATATCTCCTCCAGGGAAGGAATTTTACGAGCTGCCATACTGACCCTTATATAACTTAGATCACTTCCGTGATTTTTACAAAGTAGCTCCAGCTGTAGGATGATATTTAAGATTTTATCTTTCGGCTAATTTTCCCCTCTCTCTGTGTTGGGGCCAGACAGTATTACAGTACAATATTAACCTCTGGGATTTTTTTTTTCAAGATCAGACATCCCAACTCCTGAGGCTACATAGTAGCCTCAAGTCCAAGGAAACAGAAGGCAGATTTCCCATCATGATAAGAAGGCAGATTTCCCATAAGGGGGTAGAGACAAGTGCCAGACAAGGCTCTAGAGTGGAGGGAAAGGGGCGTCCCCTTCTGCCTACTCAAGGTCCTCAAAGAAACCAGGCCAACTTTCTGTCTTCAGACTCTGTCCCAAGCATGGGAAGGCCCACATGAGTACAGCCACATAAGGATTAGAAACACTAATTTTGTGGGCTGGAGAGATGGCTCAATAGTTTAGAACACTTGTTGATCTTGTAAAGGACTTGCGTTGGATTCCCAGGACCCACATGGTGGCCTACAACCATCCATAACTCTAGTTCCAGGGATCATATGCCCTCCCTGGCCTCCAAAGGCAGCAGGCTGCACATGGTACACATACACACATGCAGGTAAAACACTAATACATATAAAATAAATCAAATTTTAAAAAGAAACAAAACCCAACAGTTTCTGTTCCAGATGTTCTTGGGCTTACTTTCCTGCAGCACATATATTTTGTTTAGGGGAGCTAACAATATTTTTGATTAAATCTTTGAGTCTCATATAATTTCATGCAATTCATTTTGAACATTTTACCACCGTCTCACACTTACCCCATAACCACCCTTTCCGCCCTCCCACACAACTTTGAGCTTGTTTTTCCTAGTTAGGCTTTTATTGCTATGATGACGACCATGGCCAAAAGCAGCTTGGGGAGGAAAGGGTTTATTGGCTATGCTTCCACATCACAGCCCGTCATCAAAGGAGCTGAAGCAGAAGCCCCAGTGGAACACTACTTAATGGTTCGCAGCCCCATGGTTTGCTTAGCCTGCTTTCTTATATAATCCAGGACCACCTGCTCAGGGATGGCACTACCTACATTGAGCTGGTCCCTCCGACATCAATCATTAATCAAAAAAAAAAAAATGCTCCACAGACTTGTCTACAGGCAGGCTTATGGAGGCATTGTCTCAGTGGTGCTCCCTCCTTCCAGATAACTGTAGGTATGTGTCAAATTGATTAAAAAACAAAACAAAAAAACCCAGCAGATCCCTTTGTCCCTGTTCCTCTCCCCCTCCCCCTTCCCTTCCTTCTCCCCATTCTCTCCCTCTCCCCTCTCTTCCTCTCCTCTCCTTTTTCTCCCTCTGCTTCTTCTTCCTCCTCCCCTCCACCTCCCCATGGAACCCAATTTGTGTTACCCAGCTACTCTTGGAGATGGGGCCTGCCTGGGTTCAGTCAGCATACCACTAATCACATCATTAAAGAAAACTGACTTTCCCTCTCACCACAGCTGCCAGTCCTGGTAGCTCTTTAGCTAGTGGTGGGATTTCCTGACTACATCCTACCACTGCCCCATTCTAGACATTTTTTGGCTGGAGCTTGAGAAGATCTTATACATACTCTCACAATTGCTGAGTTTGTATGTGCAACTGCCTGTTGTCAGGGAAACACTGTTTTCTTAATGTTATCAACCACCGTTGACTCTTACAATCTTTCCACCCCCTTCTTCCATGAGGATCCCTGAGCTTAAAGGTAGGGTATGATATGTATAGCACTAAGCACTCCACAGTTTCTTATTCTCTGCACATTGACCAGCTGCGGTCTCTGTGTTAGTTGCCATTTCCTGCAATGGGGAGCTTCTCTGATGAGGATTGATAAATGCTCTGATCCGTAGATATAGTAATATGCCATTAGGCGTTGTTTTAATAGTGTGTCCATTTAGCAGAATAATAATATTGGGTTCCTTAAGGTCTGTGACTTATCCAGCCTCAGGTTCTTGGTTCCTAAAACAGGGCTAGGTATGGCTTCCATCTTATGGAGTGGGCTGTAGAGCTAATCAGAAGGTGGGTGGTTACTTCCATAACATCTTGCCACTATTGAACCACTAAGTGTATCTTGTCCAGCCAGCCATTTATTGTAGCTTGTCGGGTTCACATCTGGATGAGAATGATGTTTGGTTTTCTCTTCTGAAAGCATGCCTTGCCACTACCAGTTGAGTGCCAGCTTGATTTCTCCAAGTTCTGTGACTCAAATATGTGGTATCTTCAGCAGTAGGGTTTAATGTCAAGTTCTGGAATGTAACCAAGGGCATTGGCTATAGCCTATATATAATGAATGCTTTGGGGTCTGTGTGAACCTATAGCTGGCCAAGATTTTAACTATACCACTGTTGCCTCTCTCTCTCTCTCTCTCTCTCTCTCTCTCTCTCTCTCTCTCTCTAGATAAATCTTCAGGGGTATAAGATCTCTATCCTAAGAATCTCTTTTTAAAAAAATAACAAAACTGATAAAAATAACAATAAAACAAAACAACATCTGAACTATGAAGCTACAGTTTTTGACAAGAGATGATGTAGTGTCTGAATGGCTTTGACCCTTTTATTCTAAATGGCCACGCAGATTAGATTGCAGGTGGGTTGAGATTTTTCCTTTGAATTTGATGCTCAGGAGAAATACCTTATTACAGCGGAGTTATTTTCATACCCATAGAGGCAATTCTGTCCACAGTAAATGAGCAGCAAATAATTGAAGGCAGTTAGGACATAATAGAGCAGAAGGAAACAAGTTTATCCAAGAGATTTTTCTTCAGGCAGAGAGTCAAGACACACCCCTCTTGAGTTTTATCATTTGAACCTGTGCTCTTGATGTCTCAGCCCTTAACCCTTGAGGCCATTGGCTTAGGCTCAGACTTCAAACCCTTGTCTCCATTACTGTTACTATATTTATGTATGTGGAGGTCAGAGGAGAACTGTCAGGAATCGCTTCTGTTTCTCCACTGTGTGCTTCCTGGGATTGAACTTAACTAGTCAGGTCTGACTGCAAGTGCCCTTACCCACTGTACCAGCTCCTCAGCCCCGGGCAGCTTGTAAAAATTGAATCTTTGGGAAGATAGCCTTGCTGCTTATCACTGTGTGCCAAGCAGCAACCCCAACCAATGGCCTGTCCTGCAAGAGGAGCTTCATTCCCCACTGAAGGAGTGATCCTTGGTTGTTCGCTGTGATAGCAGGGAGACAATTGAGGCTTCGCTCACCCCTGGGGAGCTACTCTAGTTAAGGAAGGTAATATAGAGCAGGAACAATCGTAGCTTGGGCTCCATGCTCTTGTTTTGTCTGGTCTGCTTGTTGTTGGGTTATATATAGTTATGATGGTGGTGGTGATGATGGTGATGGAGGTCACAGTGGTGGTGGTCACCGTGGTGATGGTGATGGTAATGATGATGGTGGTGGTGATGATGATGGAGATAGTCACAGTGGTGGTGGTGGTGATGGTAATGGGGGTGGTTATGATGGTGGTAGTAGTGATGATGGTGTTGATGGTGATTGTGACAATTGTTCTCCTTTGACCAATAAGTCTGGGAAACGCTGAATATAAAGCTTATCTGGGGAGTAATTTGAAATAAGATTTATATCAGACCTTAAAGGCTCCCTAGGAGATAAGCAAGAGTTTTCCCTACAGTCTCATCTTCCCCACAAATACCTGTGAATGGATGTGGACCACAACAGGCCGTTCCTGTTACCAAAGCTAAACACACCCCAAGGAAATGTAATTCATTCTGTGTGTCACCCAAACCCAAAGATAGACACCTACAGCATATTGTCTGACTCATGTCGTTGATGGTACAGTGTGGGTTAACACTGGATTTACTCTCTCCACAGAACATTGATATCACCAATTTCAGCAGCAGCTGGAGTGATGGACTGGCCCTCTGTGCGCTGCTGCACACCTACCTGCCTGCCCACATCCCATACCAGGAGTTGAACAGTCAGGAGAAAGTAAGTCATTCTCTGTGCTACCACACTTCTCTAGGAGAGCCAACAGAACTTCTGTGGCAATGCATTACTGGGTGGGGAGGGGAGGCTTAAGAGAGCTGGGGTGGACATCAGGAAGGACACGATGGGGGGCAGGATGTGACTGCAGTGTGGGATCCTATCCTCAGCAAATATGTCTTAGCTGCCCTTCTCATTGCATACAGTTTGTTAGCAAGAAAAAGAGTGATTTCCAGTCTACTGTAGTTGCTGAGAGGATCCTATCATCCGCTTTCTAGAGAAAACCCTGGGTCATCTGTTACCTTCACTTTGCAAAGTCTTTTCCAGTGTTGGGGTGGAAGAAGGAGGGATAACAGGATTCCCTTATTGTCTCCTAAAGGAACTCCATTTTTTCCTGTTAAGCTGATTGGATTAGGTTCACCCACATTTAGAGAGTCATCAGCTTTATGAAAAGCCCATCAATGTAAATGTTAATATCACCTAATTACATGGATCAGGATGGTCTCTAGCTCACAGAGATATACCTACCTCTGCCTCCTGTGTCTTGGGTCAAAGTCATGTGACACTATGCCTTGCCTAATCTCACTCTGTAAACACCTTCCTAAAGGGCTAACAAGATGGCTCAGTGGGTAAAGGCATTACTCCCAAACTTGACAACCTCCATTTAATGACCAAGACCCACATGGTGGAAAGAGAGAAGCAACTCCCACAAGTTGTCCTCTGATCTCCATACATGAGTGTGCACACAGTCAATAAATGAATGAATGAATGAATGCATGAATGAATGAATAAATAAATAAATAAATTTAATAAAATTTTAAATAAAGAAGGAAATAATATTTGCACACACACATCCATCACAGAATATCTTACAGGACTGGCAGTGTAGCTAACGGCAAAGCAGTGATCTAGCATGTAGCAGACCCTGGGTTACATTTCTAGCATGGAAAATGTAATTGTTTTCTTTTTTGTTTGTTTGTTTGTTTGTTTTTGTTTGTTTGTTTGTTTGTTTGTTTGAGACAGGGTTTCTCTGTGTAGCCCTGGCTGTCCTGGAACTCACTCTGTAGACCAGGCTAGCCTCGAACTCTCGAACTCAGAAATCCACCTGCCTCTGCCTCCCAAGTGCTGGGATTAAAGGCGTGCGCCACCACCGCCCGGCATGTAATTGTTTTCAAAGCGTTTCCATGTGGGGTGCTGTGTAAACTGTGAAACAGTATGGCCATGTGATGTTTAGCAGGAAAGATGTGCAGTGCATCATGTTATGTCTGAGATGTGTTAGGAGGCAAGCAGCAAATCTGGAGTTCAGATTGGAAATGAGAGCTATAAGAGTGGATGTGGGGGGAATCAGTGAAGATCTGTGCCATGTGGTGGGACTTCCCAAGATGAAGCAGCATTCTGTGTGTGCACTCTCCGATGATCTTGGAAGGGTAGATGCAGATGGTGTATCAAGCTGTACAACTGAAGATCACCCTAAGGGAACTGTCCTAAGCAACTCTCATAACGATAGCAAGTAACTGAGGCTCTATGTGTTATAGAGAAAAGAAGTCGATTTAGAGCTCGGAATGCTGAAAATCTAAAATTGAGCAGTCACATCTGTTTGGCCTCTCATGAGAGCCTCATGGTAGGAAAAACTACAGCAGTGAGACTGTGCAGGATAGAGACACAGGGTGAGCCAAGAAGCCAGAGAGATTCAGAGGCCAAGTGTGCTCTTCTTATAATAATTTGCTCTCACAGGAAGTAATTAGTGTCTCACAAGAACTACATTGATCTCTTCAGAGAGTACGATTCCCAGTCACCTGCTTTATCCATATCCTAAAGTTTCCATTACTTCATATGCTGCCGGTCAAGCTTTCAGCACTCGAACCTTCTGGGACACACTCAAGCCCTGCCCACAGCACAATAGAACACAGAGGGGAGAATGACCCAGCAGAGGGAACTAGAAGGGGAGGTCAGCCATCACAGAGGCCAAGGCACAGCAGGACATCTGACTATGACCTAGGTGGCATTCCCTCCCCAACCCTACTGACTCTCCACTCCCCTCTGGTGTGATGTTACAAAAAGAATTATGTAGATAATCAGTAGTCCTTCCAAAAATGATAGCAAGTTAAGCTTAACTTATCAAGTTAAGCACCTACATACCCACACAACCTAAAACCTGAGTCTTCCTGAAAGTGACATCTATAGTCAACAGGCCTGGCTTCTTTATCCTTGAATCAACTCAGATCTGTCAGAAGATAACGGGCCTGTGGGTGTTTGCTCTCCCACTTAGTATCATGAGCATTGCTTCCTGGTGACCAAAACCCCTTGTCTCACCCTGAATCCCTGAAATTCTAGCATCAGGCACCTTGCCAGCTGTTCAGGGGCCTCTTGCAGATCTGGAGATATGCATCAGGGCAGGCTGGCATCAGCATTCTTTTTCCTGTCACTGTTACAGGACAGGGGCCCCTGGTTCCCACACATCTGCCTGAGCTTCTTTTTCTGGATCTTTGCTGATGTCATCAAAGAGTGCCAATGGTGAAGGACCACTATAAGGTGATAAGGAGTTAGCACCACATACCAGGAGTGTCATGCACAGATCTGTTTGGCTTCACAGCTCCCTGTCAACTCCAGCTGAGCTTGAGTGTTCCAGCACCTAGGACTCTGTCAGTCACTCCTAGCCCACTGCTCCCTAAAGAAATATCTGTCTCCACCCTAGCTGTATCCTCAGGGGACAAGCAATGGCTACAGCTCAGGATATGATGAACAGGGATGGGGGTACACTGAAAAAGGCCAGATCCATCCATTACAGAGGAGGGTTGTTAAAAATCACACATCAACAGAAGTCCATCAATACAATATCAACTGAACGTGCATAGAACTTTTGATGAGGGTAATTCCCCTGAGGCAATAGTACCCCTGGGCAGAAAGGACATGTTTGATATTGGGCTTCAAAGGGAGTGTGACTACCACAGACTCTCCTGGATGAGTGAACATGGTCCAGACTCTGCCCTGTAGTCTTGTTTACTCAGTATGAGTGGGTTGTTGGTTGGTTGGTTGGTTGTAGTTTGTGAAATACACTACCATCGAAAAGAGCACTAAGAGAAATAAACTGTTTGTAAGAATCCATTAAAATTGAAATATAAAAATAGTATGATAAAGGCTCTGGGCTCAGTGGTAGAGTCCAGCGTGCCTTCATGAGTAAGGACCTAGACTTCATCCCCAGCACCAAAGAAAATGAATTAGTTCAGAATTAAAAATAAGAACTGGGCACAGTGGTGCATGCCTATAAACCCAGCACTTGGGAGGTGGGGACTGGAAGATCAGGAGTTCAGGATCATTGTTAGCTACACAGTAAGGTCAAGGCCAGGCTGGGCTAAATGACACTGTGCCTTAAATAACCAAGGATACCTTGTCTGGTATTAAATGCAATGGCAGGGTACATTACAGTAGGTAGAAGGTGTGGGTGAAGTGTTTTGTTTTCATTAGAAATAGAATCTTAGCCGGGCAGTGGTGGCGCACGCCTTTAATCCCACTTGGGTGGCAGAGGCAGGTGGATTTCTGAGTTCAAGCCCAGCCTGGTCTACAGAGTGAGTTCCAGGACAGCCAGGGCTACACAGAGAAACCCTGTCTTGGAAAACAAAAAAAGAAAGAAAAAAAAAAGAAATAGAATCTTTAGATGTCAGCTTGTGCAAGCTCTTCCATGAGGCCCAGAGTCAGGTTGTAGAGTAGAGAGTGATTATATTGGTATCTGAAATTTAATATGAGTGTGGGTCAGATCCTTTCTCCTACTTATTTACAGAAAGACACTGCACTGGTATGGTCCTACCAGTCAAGCTGGGGACCAAGTTCTGCATCAGATAGGAACAGGTTGCCCTGAAATGGAAGGTCCCAGGCTCACACCACCCCATACACTGGGCAGGCACTGAAGAATGGCCTCTCACTCTGTCTCCACCTATGTGGCAGAGCTTCGGCTGAAGCAAAGCTCATGGCCTGAGGACATTGGCTCTCCTCCCACTCCCTCACTGGGCACACACTCTTCTCCTCTCTGTCCTCAGCGTCTGCAGCAGTATGCAGTGAGAGGGTATCAGGATAATGACCCCTGGCCACTGGTGTCCTGTTACCATCAAAATAAGCAGAAATCATTTTTATGACCACCACCAACAACAAAAAACTCCCCTGTCATGTTCCATTTTTATCTGAATTATACTAGAATCTTAGCAGAATTCTAACTAACATGTTTGGTTTAGAAATGCTTTCCCTTTAGACCTTATTAGTAACCAATAATACAAATTAAAATAATAAAATACCATGTTTAGCTTGACATATTTGGCAGGGGGAGAACATGATTATTGGAGCTGCCTTTTTAGGAAGTAGTTTGGCATTACAGTATCATGAGCCATAAGAATTGTTTGTAGCTCAGCTTCATCAGCAATGTAACCTAATAGCTGGCCTAACCAGAAGAATAGAGTAAGACCAAAGACTCCATTAGAACCAAAACAGGGATTGCTCCCCTAGTATAGGCTGGGAGGACGCATTACTGGGTCTGCTCAGCAAAGCAGAGCAGTGTCTCTGAAACAAGGATACGTTTTCCAGTTATTGCCCATCAGTCTCCCTAGGTGTCAAGGAAGAAGGCTGGGGACTGGGCAGTATCACCATGATCAGCAGCTTCCCACAGGCTAGAAAAAAGCATGCATAGACAAGTCTGCTTTTCTTCTGATGAAGTTTATACAACAGCAAGCTGACTTCAGTGTCAAGACACCTTTTGGCCTAGGGCCTAATGTTTAAACAGGGCACAGTGAAGACCATGGGAAAATGGAAAAATAGAAGATTATGTATAATCAACCTTGAACTCCTGGATTCCAGTGGTCTTCTTACCTTAGCTGCTTAAAAAACTGTGGGCACAAATGCATGCCTAGCTTATATATAAACTTTAAATGTGACTGGCAAAGTGCTTGTCTAGCATACACAAGGCCTGGGTTCAATCCCTAGTACTGGGGGAAGAAAATTAAACCTAAATATATCAAATTGCAAAATTATGCATAGGACAAAGTGTGAACATACTTCTCAATTCTACTTAAAATATCTAGTTAAATTTCTAAAACTAAATGGCTTTCCTATGAATTATTGAGGTGGGATGGCACAACACATAAATGAGGTTGTCTGTAGGGAGACATGTCAGAGAATAGCCATGAAGAGTCTGAGAACAAAGCTCCAAATGAAGGTTCGGTGACTCCAGGGAACAGTGCTGTTCCAGTTCTAAGGTGAAGCCATTTTCAGCCTAGAATTCTCCAACCACTATTAACCAAGCATGATGATAGGAACAGGTTGCCCTGAAATGGAAGGTCCCAGGGTACATTACAGTAGGTAGAAGGTGTGGGTGAAGTGTTTTGTTTTCATTAGAAATAGAATCTTAGCCGGGCAGTGGTGGCGCACGCAGAAAAGGAATTTTCTGTATGAATACATCTGGAACATGTTTCTCCTCTATAACCTTCCTCAAGAGTGTACTCCAGTGAGACAGGGCTACAGTCCAGCTGATAAGAGGTTCTGGGGGGTCCTTGGGGTACAGATATTTCCCTGAATAATAGTAGTAACTAAGCTTCAGAGTTTGAAAAGTAGGAAGTGAGCGGTAATCCAAGGACACCTAATCCAAACGTGAGGCAGACTCTCTGTGTGAGCACAGGAGCAGCAGGCTGCCGAGGGTGTGTTAGGAACTTCACACAAGCACCATAATGAATAAGAAACCAGATGGGGAGGGACAGCTCTCCAGTAAGAGAAGTCTGGAGCCAACAGAAACTATAGGGGAAAAACAAACCGTAGAAGAAGGACTGGGACCAAATCTCAACCACCATAGGCCAGCCATGGCATGAGTGCACACACGCACGTATAAGTACAATTTTCTTTTCTTTTTTCTTTTTTTTTTTTTCTGGTTTTTCGAGACAGGGTTTCTCTTTGTAGCCCTGGCTGTCCTGGAACTCACTCTGTAGACCAGGCTGGCCTCAAACTCAGAAATCTGCCTGCCTCTGCCTCCCAAGTGCTGGGATTAAAGGCGTTCGCCACCACCAGTAAAATTTTCAAAATAAATAATGATGTAAGATTACAATCAGCAAGACATCACTACAGGAGATAAAGAGAAACTAGAAAGAGCTTCTCTCCAGGACTTGGATTGGGGGAGGGAACAGTTTTTCATTTGGTTGTATTTAACTACCTTCAGGTATGACTTTGATAGTTTTATTAAGACCAGGTCTCACTATGTAGCCCTGGCCTCTAACTCATAATCCTCCTGCCTCAGCCAGAAGTGCATCAATGCCACACCCAGTTTGATTATCATTTGTTACACAGCCCTGTGAAAAAACAGGATACAACAGAATGTAGTGAATCTCAAAAAGCCACAAAGCAATGAAGTTTGTCTTTGGTCACATGTCAGTCAATGTCATTTTCCCAGTGGCAGTTGTAACGTGTTAGTCTTTCCTTCCTGGGGCAGAGCAGGTCTGCATGGTTGGCATGGTGCTACTTGTTTTTGTGCAGTGAGTGCTCTGTGTCATGTCACCTGCTGTCCTTCCCTCAGCCATTCTCTTTGTCTTCCTTAACACAGAAAAGGAATCTCTTGCTGGCATTTGAAGCAGCAGAAAGTGTTGGCATCAAGCCCAGCCTGGTAAGTGTGCTATTGTGTCTTCTTTTGATATTTTTTCTACTTCATGAGAAAGAACCTCCTGCTGCCCACTAAACAGGTAAAGGATACTCAGATCCATTTGCAGTTCTGTTACTCATGATTCCTGTATAAAGTTATCCAGTCGGCCTGAAAACAAGTTAGACTCAGGGTTTTTGTTTATATCTTTGTATTATTATTACTTTATGTTTGTGAGTGTTTTGCCTACATGTGTTTGTGTGCACCCCATGTGTGTCTAGTGACCTTGTAGGTCAAAAAAAGATACTTTATCACCTAAAACTAGAATTACAGATGACTGTGAGCTACCCTGTGGGTGCCCCCAGGAAGGTTACAAAGCTATTAGAAGTGAATATTTGGAATGAAAAGAACAGATGGGTTGCCAAACTGGTTAGACACAGCAAGAGAGAAGCTGGTGGCTGGGAAGTGAGCAGAAGGAGGCTACCCAAAAGTCCAATGGACAATAAAGGATGGAAAGGCAGTAGTAAAGTTATTAGCTAATGGGAGTTTACTTTCTAGAATGGGGAAGCCAACAAACTCAGGGAGTTGGAAGCCAGCCTAGACCACATGAAACCCTGTCTCAAAAAAAAAAATTATATACATTGTGGAGTGGGCTGGGCTTCTATGTACAACAACAACAAAAATCTGATTTAAGCAACTGCTAATCGGCTTTCTATTCTTTTTGTTGTTGTTGTTGTTATTTTGTTGTTGTTACTTCTTTTTTTATTGGATATTTTATTTATTTACATTTCAGATGCCATCCCCTTTCCCCATCCCTCCCCCAGGAACCCCCTATCCTATCCCCACTCCTCCCTCTTGCTTTTTTTTTTCTTTATTAGTATTTTAAGTTAACATACAAAGTACTGGGTTTTATTACAGCATCCTCATACATGTGTCATTAGAGTTCTGATTTGTTTCACTCTGCCCCTTCCCTTTCTTCCTCCAGTTAGTTTCCTCATCTGATTTCCTGTCACATGTATTCCATCACCCTCCCTCCTCATCCTTTTTTTTTTTTTAAAGTTAATCAAAGGTTTTATAAGTTTGGTAATGCTCAATAACAAGATGCCCATACAATCAGAAGTGTAACCCAATACCCAACCTAGATATACCAACTATCTTTGATTGGCAGAGACACTCGAACAGAACATCCACCTCCATGTTCCTCTCTCTCCCTTTCTCTCTGTCTCTGTCTCTCTCTGTCTCTCTCTCTCTCTCTCTCTCTCTCTCTCTCTCTTTCTCATCTCTTAGCTCCTCCTCTCATTCTCCTCCTCTCCTTACTCTTCCACCTTAGCCTCTTACATATCTCCCTTCCTGTTAAAGTAAAACTTTTCAAAATACAATTAGAGCATAACTATATCAATTTGTATCAGTAAGGTACAAGACAGACCTAATACCCAGTCCATCATTTTGTTGACTAACCAGAACCTCTGTCATCTCTCCTAACTAAAAGACTTAGTTCTGAACCTGGCTTTTTTCTTGGCTTTAGAATGAATGTTAGCTGAAAGCCATTCTCTCAAATCTTTTCTCTCAAAAAGTAAATAGCCGGAATTGGCTATGAGACTATAAGTCTTCAATCCCGTCAGAAATCCAGAATGACTGAATTAACTGAAATTATGGGAAGCACAAAGCATAGCTTCTAAAACTTAGCCAATTTAAAAGCCAATTTATAGAGACTGCTGAACACCTGGACAGTCCCTATACTACAAAACGTTGGAGCATCCGATCTTCAGCCTTCTGGCCCAGGATCATCTGACAGACCTAGTGATGCAGAATTATTAAGGGCTGATTACTCTGTCTCGGCAGATATAATCAGTCGACTATTCCGCAAGTGTGTTCTTTTCAGGACAGTAATTTGTCTGTAGATGAAAAGAGGCCATTCTTGCCTAGTGGCTGTCTCACCACAACTGAAGTAACTCCAAAGATGCTCAATTTCTTCTTAGAATCCAAGACAGGAAGCTGTCAGGAGCAGACAGGTCTCTAATCAAAATGAACATTAATACAGAAATGTTTGTAATGTCAATTCTGTGGACTTCTGACATTTTGAAAACCAACTATCCATGTAAGGCAATCTGGACTGTTGCCTGTTAACTCCTCTCAGCTATTTCTAAATAAAATATAGAAAGCACCCTAACAATAAACTCAGAGCCATGAATTTGCTATAGGCCCTTAACTCACAGGCTGACCATCTTGAATCAGTTAAAAGAGTTAAAGAAGGACTGAGTCTAAGCCTTGTATATGTTATATAGGCACAATGCCTATGGGAGTAACAATATTAATCTCACTTTTATATCAATAAGAAATTTGTACTAATGAAAACCATAAAGTTGAAATCAAAGTAAATTTTGTACCATTTAAGAAACTATAACTTAGGGCTGGAGAGATGGCTCAGTGGTTAGGAGCACTGACTGCTCTTCTAGAGGTCATGAGTTCAAATCCCAGCAACCACATGGTGGCTCACAACCATCTACAATGAGATCTGATGCCCTCATATGGGTGTCTGAAGACAGCTACAGTGTACTTACATATAATAAATAAATAAATAAATAAATAAATAAATAAATAAATCTTTAAAAAAAAAGAAACTATAACTTCAGCTTTCAGCTTTCTATTCTTGAAACTAAATTGAAACTTCTTATATAATCTTTCAATAGAACTTGGACAAAGGTTTTAATCACTATTGTTACTTCTGATTGGGTGTGGTTTAGAAGTGACAAATGTGTTAGGTGGTTGTGGTGCATACCTTTAATCCCAGGAAGCAGAGGCAAGTGAATCTCTGAGTTCTAGGCCAGTCTCGTCTCCAAAACAAGTTCTTAGACAGCCAGGGCTACACAGAGAAACTTTGTCTCGGAAATACTAAAAAACAAAAAACAAAACCCAGCAAAGTGTAACCCAATGTATTGTGTGTACATGTGCATAAGTGTGTGTGTGTGTGTGTGTGTGTGTGTAGTCAGGCTGGCTTTGGTATCACTATGTAGAATGACCTTGACTTCTGATCTTCCTGTCTCTACCTCAAGTGCTGTGTTTAGAGGCATGTACCACCCACCATGCTTAGCACACGTTGTTGTGGTTTTAATCCACATACAAGCAAGGGGTGCGGACTGGGGAATGATCAGGAAAACCAAGGCTGGAATAACAGTGAGTTACAAGTGCACAGCTCCCCAGGGGTGGGAGGAGTCAGGAAATGAAAAGCAAAAGAGTCGTGGAGCAAGCAGTCCCCTGGGCGATGACAGTCCATGTAAATTTGACCCAGAATGGGCAGTGTTGTAGAAATAACAATATTCTTCAAATATTAGATATTAGTATTTTCTCTAAACCTTCCTCAAAGAAGAACACTATTTAAGAAATATTAACCCAGCTGAAGAGAGGGCTCAGCAGTTGAGAGTTCTGTTCCCACCACCTATGTTGGGCAGCTTACAACTGTCCATAACTTCAGTTCCAGGGAATCTGACACCCATTTTGGCCTCTGGAGTCACTGCACCATTGTCCAGAAATCCACACTCAAACACATAAGTATGCATAATTAAAAATAATAATAAATAAGTCTTAGGTAAAACAGATAAGCAAGATCCCTTCGGAGTGAAGCTCTGTAGTGTGGGCCAAGCTTTAGAATAGGTTCGTGCTCAGCCACCATGAAATAGACACCTTAAGTGCATATCACAGTCCTACAGAAAGAACAGGCAGATGTTCTTGGCACCATTGTCATTACTACAGAGCTACCGTGCCATGTCCTCCAGGACTAACTGACTGTGACTTAGTGAAGATTCACTGTGGCCTTAGTCATTTAGTCCAGGACATGCTGCTCCCTCAGGGCATGTGCAGGTTACTGCACAAGACTAAACACCTCAGAGCAAGAACTCTGAGAGCCTTACCCTTTTTCTTTCTAAACATCCGTGAGTCCGGTAAGTGAAGTCAGTTGCTTTTTATAAGTCTTACCATCTTAATTACTTTAAGTGGTCTGAAGCACCTTCACATTGTGGTGCAATCCTTGCCACCCTCCCCCTGTAGAATTCTTATCTTGCAAAATCGAAACTCTGAGTCTGTTAAACATTAATTCCTCATCCCCACCCTCAGCCCAGCGGCCACTGTCCTGTTCTTAGACTCTAAGAAATCACCTATTTCAGACACTCCATGTAAGTGCATTTGCCCCACCATATCTGTTTGGCTTTTGTGACACAGTATAAGGTCCTCAAAGCTCATCTGTTAGAAGGTCCTTCCCTTTTAAGGTAAATTACACAGTTTTGCCACATGCCACTCATCCCTTTGTCCATTACTGGACACTAGGGTACTGCCGTAGTTTGGCTCTTCTAAGAAAATGCCTCTGTGAACCTGGATGCACAGGTTTTGTTTTGTTTTTTGTTTTTTTTTTATTAATGAAGATCCTGGGAACAGTGCCAGGCCATAGACTGTTAGTAGCAAGTATGTGTGAGCAGATGAATAAAATATGACACATTTCTGATGTGTTTTTATTTTAGATTTATTTATTTTTATTTTATGTATATGAGTATTTTGCCTGCATGTGTGTGTGTATACCACATACACGCCTGGTGCCTGTGGAGGCCAGAAGAGGGCATCAGATACCTTGAAACTGGAGTTACAGGTAGTTATAAGGTACCATGTGGGTGCTGGGAACATAACCCAGGTCCTCTGGAAGAGCAGCCAGTGCTCTTGACCACTGATCCATCTCTCCAGCCCCTGTGGCATATTTCTTACGTTCTTGATTAAGTTCATCAGTACTGAGGTACTAAAATTCTTAACCAGTATTTTCAAAGTCAAATTCATTTTCATTCTGGCTGGGAGATTTTTGTGTTCCATTTTATTTGTTCTGTCTGCTGAAGCCCACTAGTTAGGTATGTAAGCCATGATAATTCATCGCTAGGTTATTTACACTAAACCATGTGAGAAAAGCATATCTTTGCTTCAGAGTTGACATACCAGTTGCAAAGGGTTCTTACTCTCTGCCTGTACAACTGTCTAACACACAGGTGCAG